TCTTTCATGGTACTTTTTAAGAGAAATGGATCTTTCCTTTTCATTCTTAACTGCAAAACCTCCAACAGAATGTACAGCAAACACAAGTAACTTACACATTTACACTGTCTTTTCACAAAAACAGAAAACTTCCCTTTCAATCACCCTAAATTGCACAATTCTCATCTGTATTAAGGAATTCCATTTCATCTCTCCTGTAAACAAGTGATTTCAATGCAACAGGGTTGATAAAGGACAAACTGCAACTGGAAAGAGTGGAATTTTTAGGAGTTACCATTATTCATCTTCCACTTTCAGCAACCCACACTATCAAGCCTGAAGCTAATATGGCTCCTTGTTAAATATTTTTGATGATTACATATCCTTGTGCAAAGAGGGAATTAGAACTCAATACTAGTATTTATGCATATAGCATTCTGTATGAACACTGAATATTCAAAAGGTAAAACAATTATAACCCACTACCTGTACAGTGCAGGGAAGACTCTGCAATAAAATGAATAGACTTCTCTCATCAGGCTCCCAGGCAGGTTAAACAATACTGTGCTTGCAAATAGCATCTTCTGACATCTCTTGTGTTACTGAACCAGGAAAAGTTTCCTATAAATACTGTAGGTCTGAAAGTCTCTCCAAATACAAACCTGTCTCCTGGTGACAGAAATGACTCAGAAACCTCCAGTAATGTAGAGGGGGTATCTAAGGCTTTTGGTTTTGATTTGTTGTCAGGTGTACTGTTTTGTAATTCATAGAATCACAGCATGGTTTGGGTTCGAAGGGACTTTAAAAATCACTTAGTTCCAAAACCTCTGCCGTGGGCAGGGACACCTTCTGCTAGACCAGGTGGATCAGAGGCCCATCTGTCCTTCAGCAGATACCAAAGGACAATTTTTTTCTCTGTTTTACACGAGCCAGATTTCTACGTTCATATTCATGGGTGGCTCCAGTCTCACACAGAAGATTGCTGTGTTTATCACTCTTATCTTCACAACACAGCAGAAGTCCTATTTTGGATTGTTCTCCTTGCTCTGAAGACCCCAGCAATGGGCTACTGCCTTTCCTCCCTCAGCCTGCTCTTCTCTGGAGGCTGCAGGACTGGTCTGTGCATGACCCCAACATGGGCAGGAGCTTGGATGGCAGGGAATGTGTTCAGCTGCCGAGTGGAACAGGGTGCAGAACCTGATCAGCCCTGAGGGCTTAGACTGGAAAAAGGGATCAGTGACAATAACAAACTCTAAATCTCAAAAACTTTCTCAACAAAAATGACAAGAGGCATGTCTTTGCCAAAGAGTTGGCTCACATACAAATCATGGATAGTTCTATTGTTTTTGCCAACACATCAGCTTAACACAAGCCAGCATCAAGCCTGTACAAACTTTGTCACTTGCAGTACACATGCACTTGCAGCTATAGCATTTATATTCAAATGTGCACACATGTTCTTCTGAACTTCTTTCCAGAGGTGACTTATTTCTGCTCCTAGCAAGGAAGAAGCATGTAAGTATCCCCTATTTTCTTGAGACCTTAAAAAAAAGGCAGCATTATCAGCAAATAAGTCTTGGTATCCCTGAAGGTAAAAGTATTCCACGTTGTGGATAAAGACATTAGTGCCCTCTCTATTTATTGTTGAACTTGTTAATGTGTTAAGGAATTTCTTTGTCTATTATAGGACTTTTTTTTTTTATTGCCAGAAATATTTTGATCTGCATATGAAACATTCAGTCCCTCAAATTATTTCAACAGGTCATTGTTTCATACTGATCTGTGACATAGATTAGTAAATTATAGATTTAAAAGCTTTTCTGTACTAAAAATTCTAATTCTAATTATCATATTTTAAGGGGATAAAGGTCCTCCTTTTTTTGGAAAACAAACAAGCAAACAAACAAACAAAAAAAAAACTATGGCAGGGAGGGATCCCAAGAAGTCACCTTCACTTTAAAAGAAATTCAGCAGCAAATAAAGTGTTCCTGATATTTATCTCACTGACAGCTACAGCTTATGAGAACAATGTATGTGACCAGTCCTGGTGCCCATATGAGGACACCTGATCTCCTCTGATGCCCATCATGGCTGGATGGCTGCCCTTTTTGAGTCACAGGACAGTGTTCCCAAGGAAGTCCATAACAAGCTATTGGAAATAGTCTAGCCAGAAGCATAGGGTACATCTGAGCTAATTTTCTTTAAAAAACTTTCAAAAACCTCTATTCACAGCCTCCCTGGCAGCCTATCAATGTTGTTCCAAACTCAGGTGACGAACGTTGAGGGTGGACAGGGAGGGGAACTCCAGTCTAGAGGCTTTCCTTTTAACCCTAGTTCTGGAGGGGAAGGTGCCCTCCCTCTCCCCTTCCCACCCCACGGCATCCCATGGCCCCCAGAGGGACCAGGACGCCAGCAGCAGGCAGGGAGAGCAGGCAGAGAGCGTTGTATTGTTCTGGTAGTTGCTCAAATAGCTTTTGGGGGGATCACAATATGACCAGTGGGAGTTCAGGAGGTCTTACAAACCAACCAATTACAAGAAAGGGTTAACAACCAATAGATAAGCTTCCAGATATCTCTTAGACATTCCAAAGGTACAGGTAAGGCATCTTGGGAAAGAGAAAGGTTTACACAAAGAGTTACACCACCATTTTGGAAGCATGTTCACTTTAACAACATTAAAACTTCTGCATTCTTTTATATACTGCAACACCCAGGCTCTTTCAGCCACTGTGCAAGCAGCTGGTCCACACAGAGCTGAGACACTTGGTTTTATTTCAGCCTGTGCAGAGATGGTGCAAGGAGGTGAATTCACAGAGCCAGCACACCTCCAGTATGCCAGGACCTCATTTGTACATCCTTCCAACTATAGAAAAATAGCATTTCCTGTTACATAACCTAAGTCCTCAGTCATTGGCTTTGCCTTCTCTTGTCTCCATTTGAAGACACAGTGCACATTTGTTTTACCGTGCGGGGTGTGTGAGGAAGGGGCTTATATGAGCAGGGGGTGATCAAAGCCTGTGTCCTGAAAATATATCCACTAAACCAAGCAGAAACTGATGTCTTCTGATACTACTTATCATAGCATCACCATTCATGTGAGTTCCTTCATGGAACTTCTCAAAAAAGGGCTTCCATCATTTTAGTGGTTACAAGAATTTAATTCCCAGTTATCCATCATCCTTCTGGATTTTTTAATATTTCAACATTTCTATCAACTGATCCTCCTTCATCCACGTGTTGCAGCAGTTACACTGGTATTGTTACTCCACCACTGTTCCAGCTGGTTTGCCAATACCCTGCCAAGCAGAGCAGAGCTGGCTCAGAGTCCCTGCTTGTTTCTGTCAGGGATTAAGTTCAGATGGAACGCCCTGAGCCATCTAATGGAATTCCAGTCTGACAATGTA